CTTCATGTCCTGTTGTAAAAGGCCCAGCCTGGTGCTTTGGAAGAGATCTTGCATGAAATTCTCCATCGTTTGACTTGATGGGCTTAGTCCACCACTGTGACCCTATTGGCCTATGCCTGGAAATGCAAAATTGTACAAGAGCTTCCCTGATCCCCCAAGCACATGATCTGTTGGTCACTATCTATGGAATTAGAAGATACTTCTGTTGCTGATTACATCTGTCAGTGCAGAAGGAGTTAGGTTTGGATGGCTTATATCTAGACCTGTGTATACAATATAGTAATCACTAGCCACATGTGGCTATCTAAATTTAAACTTCAATTATTTAAAATTAAACAAAACTTAAAATCCAGTTCATCAGTCACATTTGCCACTTTTCAAGTGCTCAATAGCCACATGTGGCTCGTGGCTACCATATTGGAGACCACAGATATAAAATGTCTCCATCATCACAGAAAGTTCTCCAGGACAGTACTGGTCTAGAGTTATTGGCATGTCCACGCCTTCCAACACGCAAGCTCTCTTCCCCTTTTTACCAAGTGTAATTTTCTAAGATAAATATTGAGACTATGTCAACTCCATGATAAGAAGAAACATGATTTTTATTCACTTACTGTCTGTTAGAAATAATAAAAAGTCTGTGTCTGTTTTTAAAAAGAAGAAAAATAAGTATTGCTAGACCAATGTTGCCCAAATTTTAACATGGATGTAAATTACCTAGGGATCTTGTTAAACTGTAGATCCTGGTTCAGCAGGTCTGGGTGGGGCCTATGATTCTACTTTGCATCCACAGGACACGACTTGAGTAGGGAGGAGTTATAACATGTGAGTTAGGACCCTATTTCAGAAGAATAAATCCAGCACATCAGCTTTAAATGGAAAGACAGAAGCTGAAGGGTATGTTCTCATTGTCCAACACCAGAAGAATGAGACCAACCCCCCTTCCTTAGTCTGAATGTGACATGGCACAGCAAAGATGAGCTGTGCAGCACAGCAGAGTGAAGAGCCGTACCCTGGAGCCCGGCTGTCTAGATTTGATTCTGGACTCCACCACTTCCTAGCTACGTGCCCTTCGGCAAATTGTCACTAGGCCTCAGTTTCCCTGTCTGGAAAATGGGAATAATACTAGTACCTCTTTCACAGAGTCGTTGTGAGGACTCAGTGAGTTAGCAGATGTAAAATGCTGGAATAATGTCTTCTGTATTGTAAGCACTGTCTGTAGTTGCTGAATCAGTAAGTAAATGCAATATTCTGCTCCTAAACAGTGAATCTGGTTTATCCTGGATGAGTTGGTGCATTTCTGATTAATTGCACTTCATTCAACTCTAAACAAGCCCCTAATTTCTTCCCTGTGGATTGAGGACGGGGTGAGAGGTGGGAGACAGTGTCTTTGGTGAAAGGTTGAATTCATGAAGCATCCCAAGTTATAAAAGTAAATAAGTGATGGCGCTGGAAGGTGGGTCCATAATTGATGGGAATGGTCCCAGGAGGTCTAATCAATGGTAGTGTTGCATTTCTGGGGACAGTGGCCATTGGACAGGCACCCTGGTTACCCTGACTAAATGCTGTCCCTCTCACATGCCACCTTTAAAGAAACTTTGTACTGTTGGCTACTATTGGTGTAACCAACAAAAGTCTGAGTTTGGAATTTGTGCAGGTTTTATAGAATCTATCCCTTAAGTATGAGACATTTTCCTTTGGTGCATGACAGCAAAATGGATTTGAGTTGTTGATGAGATTATGGCATACGCTTTTGCCTGGTATTGATTATTTTTAAACCTCCTCTTCCATCCCCAAAGCAAAGAGCCCAGCCAGCAGCGAGTAAAAAGATGGGGTTTCTCTTTCGATGAGATATTGAAGGACCAGACTGGGCGCGACCAGTTCCTACGATTCCTGGAGTCCGAATTCAGTTCAGAAAACCTCAGGTAAATCTCTGGAAGGTTTGTGCCGTATGAAGAATGTGTGTGAGAAAATTTGCATAATCAGTCTCTCCTCCTCCCTCTTTCAATAGAATATTATTAGGGTTCAAGTTCAAATTCCAGCTAATCTGGCTAAGGTTGAAATGGAGAAGGTCAAATTAAAATAAGCAACTTTGTTACCACCAGAATAGCATCTACCAACACCAGCATTTTTTCATTCTTTAAGTCCAGATGACATTTGCTCAACTCATTGGAAACATGTCTTCAATAATAATTAAATAGGCAGATTGGATGACACTATTCATCAAGTAAAACCGCAGAACCGTGGAGCTCATACTGGAGAGATCGTCCAAAGTCTGTCTCCTCCAGAACTTCCCACCCTGGGGTCCTGGGTGTCTGAAAGGCTAAACAGAAGGGAGAGGGGTCAATGGGCTCATTTCAGAAATTCAAAAAGCCAAAGTAGATATCATTCAATAACTGGAGACATAACTGTGCAAGCTGATTAAGACATGCTTTTTCCTTCTGGGGGGATTTGTATTGACTCCACATAGGGGTGACTCTGATCAGCTGATGCCAGTGGGAGCATCTGATTTCTGGTCTATAACAAATACTTTATGAAAAATGTATTAATAATTTCTGTTCGATAGGAGAAAAAAAATGAAACATTCAACACACAGGGTCCAATGTGAGAGAAAAAGCATCCTTGGTCATGAAAAACTTAGGAATTTGTAGTATATTCAGCTTTTTATCGTATTAGATTAAGAAACAGAGACACCCATGGAAAACATGACTTATCTAAGACCCCACAGTGATCTTAGCAAAATGGGGACTTCTCAATGGGTAAGAATCTCTTTTGTTTTTCTTTGAACTAGGTTCTCTTTTATATACTAGGTTAATTCCCATCTTCTGGTGCTATTTTCTTAAAAAGGATTTTGTTAATTTTTTTTTTCTTTTTCTTTTGTGACCGGTAAGGGGATCGGAACCCTTGGCTTGGTGTCGCTCGCACCACGCTCAGCCAGTGAGCGCACCAGCCATCCCTATATAGGACCCGAACCTGCGGCCTCAGCGCTCTCAGCACCGCCGCACTCCCGAGTGAGCCACGGGTTCGGCCCAAGGACTTTGTTAATTTTTACAAATATTTCTGACTTAAAAAGTCAGAGCATCGGGCCGGCCCCGTGGCACACTCGGGAGAGTGCGACGCTGGGAGCGCAGCGACGCTCCCGCCNCGACTTATCACAGCTGGCTGTCTGGGTGCAGCCTTTAATCAGAGTGCAGCTGCCACCAGCACCATCCCTAAAGAGCCCTGAGTCTTTGGCTAATAAAAAGCAGATGGTTGTGTCCATCCTAGGTCTCACCATGACTCTGGTGGAAAGAGCATCCTACAGCAGCCTGGGGCTTAAATTTTCAGCTAGCCTCAACCTCAGGAGGATTTCTCTATAAACAGTATTTTTTGGTCCTCTGGAA